TTTATTTTAAATTTTTTTATTATTTCTAATACAATTAAAACCTATTGAAAGCAGAAACTTTTAGAAACTCTGTAGCAAATACAACAACAACTCTAAATAACTTATCTCTCTCTCTTCTTTGTCTCTTTGCTACACGCTCTCTTATGCATCTAACAGGAGGTACCACCAATCAAGGCAATACCATACACGAATTGGACACAAACAACGTAAATAGCCAACCGACAGACACTAAAGTGATCGAACACACAACCGGCAACGAGGTACTCATCATGAATACCAGCGACGACGATCGAACGGCGAGCTTCTTCGCACAACCCGGCATTTTAGCAGGTAAATTGAATGAATTCTCCAACACTGACACTCACTCTCTGGCAACTAACTTTTGACAAAAACACAAAACTAATTTTTGGTTTCTCTTCACTTTTTATAGCTGTCATCGGTGGCGCTGTTGTCGGCCTGCTCTGCGCCATTCTCGTCGTCATGTTCATCGTTTACCGCATGCGGAAAAAGGACGAGGGCTCCTATGCGCTCGATGAACCCAAACGCTCGCCGGCTGTCAATTCCTATGCGAAAAACGCGAATAATCGCGAATTCTATGCCTGAGATAATTCCCAACGTTACTAGAGAGTAGACGTTATAGCGCAGGCGGTAGGCGGCGTAAAGAGGGCGGTGAGCGCAGCAGCAGAAAGTGGAGCGAAGAGTGTAGGCGATGGGTGCGAAGGAGGTGCAGTGAATGGGAAAAAATAAAATAAAATTTAATAAAATGTAAGCGAATAAGTAAATAGTGAATAGTGAAACAAATTACAAAGAAACAAGAAAGAAGAGCGAAAGCAGCGGAAGAACAACAAAACAGTATGAACGTGTGAAACGGAAGCATAACGAAAACTGTAACAAGCAATTATTATTTTGCAGACAATTTTCGAATCTTTTTTTTTATTTTTTTGTGATTGCTACACATAAAAGTTTGGAATTTAAACTCAGTTACACACACCCATACATAAATACGTACACAGCTACACGCGCATTGGACGTGCATACATAAATACGAAATTGTTGCTTTGGTGTGAAAAAAGCGAAAATATTTTGGAAGAAGAAGCAGCAGAGCTTGCTGAAAGTATAATAACGGTTATTTCGTGAGCAAAAACCAAACAAAAACAAAAACAACTCGATAAAGTGTAAAGTTTTTCTCCCTGAAAACGCCAGCAAAAAGTTTAGTTGCAAGTTTCTGTGTACGAAAAAGAATGTGAAACAAAAGTAAAAAAACAACAAAGCGAAGCGAAAATGCGCAGCAAACAGAAGAGAAACCGGATCTTTTTTTGCAACAATTAAGTTATTTAAATTTAAGTAACACAAACAATAACAAAAACACAACAGCGTGTATGGCAAGTAAAAACAAATGCAACAACAATTGTGTGTAAAGAGACGATGGAAAGCGCGAGGAAGAAAATATCAGATTTAATTTAACGGGAATTTTGATTTCGAATATGAAATTATAGAAATTAATATATAAAGTAAATTGCATATAGA